TAAAAAGCTAGATACAAGCATACATACGCTATTATTCCTTTTTTATAAGGTTCAAAACAGGAAAATCTATAGTTTTAGAAATTAAGATAGTGATTGTTCTTGGGAGATAGTGACTAGAATAGGACACAAGGAGGTTTCTGTGGTGCTAGTAATTTTTTTTTTCTTTTCTTGATGAGGGTGCTAAATACATACACTCACTCAGTTTGTGAAAATAGTTCCACTTGTATATTTAAGATTTGGACATTTTTATATATAAATTTTCTACTTTAATGAAATAAATTTAGTGATGGTATTTGAGGAACTGATATTCTTTATTCAGTAAGGAGACATGGAAGGTGTTTTTTAGCTGAAGAATCACACCATTCTATCAAAGTTGGCAAGATTGAATCAAGTGATAGCAAGACAAAAGAATTGAAAATGAAAGAGAAAATTAAGACTTGAACTTGTACAGTAGTAATAGGACTACAGAGAAGGAGATGGATAAAATAAATCTATTAGAGATAAATGGACAAACTTTATGCTTAACAGAATGGAATAGATAAAGAAAAAGGAAGACTTTTTTAAAATTGAGATTTCAGGACTGGGTGGCAGGCAGTATTATTGAGCAAATTGAAAATCAAGAGGATAAAGAATTTGGCAAACTACAATCAGCAGGCCAAATCTGGCCCCCCAACAGTTTTTGTATAGCCCATAAGCTAAGTATGTTTTTTACACTTTTAAATGATTGAAAAAATTCAGAACAGATGTAATAGAATAATATTTGTGACACATGAAAGTTATATGAAATTCAAATATTAGTGTCCATATAGAGTTTTATTGGAACACAGCCACACTCATTTGTTTGCAGTATCTATGACTGCTCTTGCATTACAATAGCAACAGAGTTGAGTAATGCAATAGAGTAGTATGGTATGGCCTGCAAGGCATAATCATTTACTATTTTGCCTTTTACAAAAAAATTCTGCTAACCTCTGTTTTAGAGCTAAAATTGTAAATTATATATATAATTTATATATATAAATATATATATATATATATATTCAAGTCTACATTATATATATACTTGAAAATTCATAATCGGCTAATAGGAGAATACAAGTTTTGTTGAAAAAAGGAGGATAACATTAGAAATAGAATTCTGGGGGCCGGCCCCATGGCTCAGCAGTTAAGTGTGCGCGCTCTGCTACTGGCGGCCCGGGTTCGGATCCCGGGCGTGCACCAACGCACCGCTTCTCCGGCCAAGCTGAGGCTGCGTTCCACATACAGCAACTAGAAGGATGTGCAACTATGACATACAACTATCTACTGGGGCTTTAGGGGGAAAAAAAAAAAAAGAGGAGGATTGGCAATAGATGTTAGCTCAGAGCCGGTCTTCCTCAGCAAAAAAGAGGAGGATTAGCATGGATGTTCGCTCACGGCTGATCTTCCTCACAAAAATATAAATAAATAAATAAAACTGTTAAAAAAAAAAGAAATAGAATTCTGAGGATCACTGTGTAGAGTGAAGAACTGAATCTGTTTGTGTAACAGTTGGCGTTTAATAGCACCTAAGAATTTAAAAAGTATATTCATATGCATTCATTCATTTGATCTCTAAAACAATTCACCTTTGATCTCACCTGTGAGGTTAGTATCATTGTCTCTAGTCTACAGATGAGGAAACAGATTCTAAAAGATATGTGCCTTTGGAGAATAATTGTGTTCAAAAGTAGAAGGTGAACGACCTTCTACTAATAGTGTTCAAAAGTGGTAGAGAACGACCATTGAGGAGAACGTGGATGTTTTGGCATACTGTGGGCAATATTGCTCATGTTTGTTGGCATGGCGGTAGAACAAAAACTCTAGAGCCAGAATTTCTGGGTTTGCTTCCTGGTTCTACCATTTACTGACACTATAATTTTGAGAAAATAACCTTTTGAAGACTCAGTTTCATAATCCATAAAATTAGGGTAATAACATACTTACCTCATAGGGCTGCTATGAAGATTGAAGTTTAAATATTTGTAAGCTGCGTAGAAGAGTGTCTGGCATATATAAATATGAGCTATTTTCATTGTCTTTGGCAACAGATTCCAGAATCAGTTGACATAGAATATAATCTCACTTGGATAGCAGTGATTCAAAAAGCCTTTGATAACTATTTATATTAGAATTCTACTCTACAGATTTGAGCAGGAGCAGAGACATATAGCCAGCCAGCGATAATGTCAGAGATTCCACATACCTGCTACGTCTTAAGCTTTATACCTCAGTTTCTTTGCTTATCCTGCAAAAAATAATCCAATAAGAAATTTTCACCCAGAATTCCTAAATATCAAGTATTCTCTAAAGTCCTATTTTGAAATTTTTATAGCGATTGAAATTGATTGATAGCATATAATAAATCATTCACGGAAGCACTAAAACCTTCAGTAAAAGTGTCAGTTAGTAATTTAGTGCTTTTTTATTGTTGCTATTCCTCCTGCGAGAAAGTCAGCATTCTCTAGAGCTTTTAATTTCGTAAACTGTTGCTCAACTTTTGGCCCTTATCTTGTCAGAAGTAAACATCTGCTGATTGTAATTCACCATGTGAGTTGAGATGTTATTAAGGAAATCGAGTGCAACCATGAGATTCCTGTCCACAACAGGGTCAGTCTCAATGTTATCCAATAACTGACTCTGCTCCCTGCATGGCAGGTGGATATAGTTGCAATTATTGTCATTTTGTGTCTGGGGAAACTTAGGAGGGTTAAGTGACTTCCTCAAGGTCCTATTGGAAATCAGTGGCATTCCAAGGAAGAGAACTTGGAATACACTTAACCAGATGACCTCTTGAATAGTTTTAACTTTATGAGGATAGTGAGTAATTTTACATGATATACCAGTGTGCACTTCAAAATTATTTATTAGATCCAGAGTCATGGATTTATTATGTCTGAGATAAACACTGTAAAAAGAGGCCCCAATCGACTCTATCTACAGTTACTATTATTTGAAAGTTTGAACACTTTTTTTATGAAAATGGAGAGAATAATAATGACCAGTAGTCAAGTAGAGAAAATTTATTTCTATTTTTGAGCTAGTTTACTGGGTTTGTAGCTTATAATTTACTTATTGTGCTTGCATACTATTGATTTCAGACATAAGTGAGCTGTGCCTTCATTTATGTGCCTTGCCATATGTCAGCAGCAGTAAAAGTTGCTTTTCTTTCAACATATCACATAGGGCACATTTCCTGGGAAAGAAACTACAAACTATTTTCAGGTCCTAAGGAAGAGTTAGTTATTTGTATAGTTCGTCAATTGAAAATCCAGTCTCATGCAGCTTAATTTAATTCTTCAAATAAAATATAATAAGTAAATTAAGAAAATGAAACAAGTTTTAGGTGCTAGATATTTGAATATATTTTTATAATTTTTTATTGAATAAGAAATAGCTGTTATTTATAGAACATTCAATATGTGTTAAGTGTTATGCTAATAAATTTAAAGGAAAATTCAAATCACAAAGTCTCATTGTTTATTTTATTTACTAGATTAGAACTACAGCATGGATAATTAATCCTGAAATTTTACACATACCAAGTTATTTTAGACACTGAGACAGGCTTATAAAAATTAGATAATAAATGACAGATACTTGATACTGGTTCTTTGATTTTTACTTTTTGGTTGGATTTTCCATTGATCTTTCTTGTAATTCCTTCTATTCATATAGTTAAGCTTTTTAACTACTGTCTGTTATTGATTCAATAAGGTGTGGTTTCATTATTCTGAACCTAGTATCCAGAATATTGCAGAGTTTTTTGAGGTGATTTCTTATTTCCCCATCTATAGATGTCCTAGAGACGAGCATCTGGAAATACCATAGGCTTTGTAGGTATCACATATTCTATGTGAAGAATCAAATAAGTAAATTCTCTTATCATTTATGATTTATGCTCTAATGATTTATGCTTTTGAATGCTCCCTCTCAGAGGGAGAGACTTATGTACTCATCCTACTGTTAGAATATTTATGGGTTCCTTTTTTTGACAATATGATTGCATAGACTGTCTCATAAAATCTTATGGCCTTGATATTATCAAATCATTTTTACTTCAAGCTTCTTTTATATTTGACAAAAAATCAAGGTCCCAGGTGCTAAGGTAGTGAATATGGTAGTTTAGAGGTATAGACCATTTTCTACCCATCCCACATTTTAAATTGCAAGTGGAAGATCCAAGTTGTATACTGTTCAAAATATAACATATCCAAAGAAGGATATTATGCCAGCACATTAAGCTTACTGTGCATGGTAAAATAGCACCTCGAAACTCAGGATGCTAAATAGGGAGGGCTGTCTTAATAAACCCTGCCCATAACATTTGTACTCTTCCTCCAGAATAGTTTGTATACACGTACACACCTGAATGTGTTTATATGCACAAAATACATATACATCCTTATGATTTTATATATTTATGTTTATCTATATACATAAGACTTATAAATTTGTACTGTTACTGTTTACCAAAGTATATTCAGTGTTTATGTAAGGATCTGTCTATTTGTATGTATATACATACATACATACATACATAGACATAGTGTCATTTTAAGATAAATTTTATGTACTTCTACCTTTTGAAGCATACTGTTAGTATAATTAAATAAAGTATATGCTTTTCTAACATATGTGATGCATTACATTGTTTGAATTAATTTAAAATTTTAATGCATTAGGAATTTGAGAAGTCCCACATGTATATTAAGAAGCAGATTTAAATATGTCAGATACTAAGTTGTACATTGTTCTCAAATGTAACATTGTAGTTCTAGAGCGAACAATTATAATTCAATAGGTTTTTCATATGAAAAGTTAAACCTGGAAGGTTTTGATTATATGACTTAAAAAAACCCTATGACATGTCACTGGTTTTAAATGAACAAGATTTATGAGCATCCTATAATGACCACTTTTTCCTAAAATGCTTTTTGACGCAGTGGAGTGATTATAAATCTAATTATCACATGTTTTAGGCTAAGATGACTCAATTGCCTGAGGCAGAAAAGGAAAAGATTGCTGAGCAAGTTGCTGATTTCAAGAAAGTAAAGAGTAAGCTGGATGCTGAGATTGAGATATGGGATGATACAAGCAACGATATCATTGTTCTGGCCAAGAAGATGTGTATGATCATGATGGAGATGACAGACTTTACAAGGTAATTGTGTGGAAAATGGTGTATCATATTTATAATGGTTAGAAACATTTGTTGCATGAGTGAAACCTCAAGTTTCTCTGAGTGGCAGGTGCCAAAAATCAGGTAGTAGATGAAAAGCAAATAATATAGAGTTAGAAAATTGTAGGTGTGTAGTTCTAGGTGTGTATTCTAAATAAATATGGCAGTTTCTCATAAACTTCTGAGGAATGATTTTAGAAACCACTTTATAACTACTCTTACCTTCACCCTCCTCAGAAATCTTCTCTGTGTATCATGTTAGCATGTTACTTTTACAAAGAAATTGGTAAATCGAGTTATTATCTCTATTGGAGCTATCTGAATGGTTGATTTCCATAGTGACACAATTTTAAAGTGATTTATATATCGTCAAGATTACTGATATCTTTTGCTACTGAGATATCAATTAGATATGTTTAAAATTACAATGACAATGATGTACATGAAGGAATCATATATTGTGTGTATATTCCAGAAGTAATAAAAATGTTTATTATAGCTTCAAAATATAATTTTATAGAGCTAGCTAAAGAACAGTGAAATATATAGTGCTTGCCCTACATGTTACTAAAATATACAAAAATACAACAATTAAAGTAATTTTGTCTTGATGTAATTACAAAAGCCACAGAACAGAAGAATATGCTGAAGCAGACCTAGCATACTTAGGAAATCATTCATTTATATCACCATACATTACATACGAAAATAACTTTTAGATGGAATAATGGAATAATGTAATTTTGAAATCCCAATAAATGAGAAAAATGCACATGAGTCTTTCACTGATATTAAGGTTGAGAAAAACTTTCTAAGCATTACAGACAAAGGAAGAACCCATAAAAGAAGGATTATTAAATTGAACTACATTAAAAATTTTGTGCATCAATAAAAGGTCCTAAACAATATTGAAATATAAGTAGATAATTGAATAAACATTTCTAACAACAAGTAACAAAAATGTGATGTCGGGGCTGGCCCGGTGGCGCAAGCGGTTGGGTGCGCACGCTCCACTGCGGCGGCCCGGG